TCTGAATTCCATATTCTAAGGTGTTTTTTGGTGCCCGAGACGCCAATAAAGTAGAAAAATTCATTTGGCACATGGAGGCGTATTTCTATACAACATAGTACAGGACATCGAGAATGTGTTTATTACGAGTATGTTCTTGTTGGGGGAAGCAAAGCACTAGTGGCATGCACGAGTGTCTGACTACGTGAGTGAGAACTAAGAGGTAATCAAAATTCAAGGATGAGAGAAGTAGGGATCAGTTCCTGCTTCGCAATACTGATTGGGTTGCAAGGGAAGCGTTAAGAAATTTAAAGCATGACAATGTGATTCATGAGTATATGAAGGACTTCAGTTCCGTGATGCTCGCTATATCTGAGATGTTCGAACAGGGCAAGTTTTTCAATTTAATGACAGGATTACAAGAATAGGCTCATGTCGAGCTGCAGCGGCCAAGGGTTAGTGATATACCAACGATGATGAAAGTTGTCGAGTGTCTTGTTGATTTAAAAGTGATTCGTGCCTATGGTTCCATTGAACATGGAAAGGACTCGATGAAGAAGGATGAAAAGTAGAAAATGTTCAAAAGTGAAAAGCATTAAGAGAAGTCTAATGAGGGTGGCCCAACTAAACATTGTCGTAGGGCCGTGGAAAGGTTCATGTACGGTGAATGAGTTACCTCTCAATGACTTTGAGTCAATTGTGGGCATGGAATTTTTCAACAAGGCGAGGGCCTTTGTGATGCCACATTTTAAGATGGTATTTGAGTTGGATGAAATGAGGTGTCCCTTGTTGTTTAGCGTGTGGTACCGAAGAAGAAACAGACCGTGCGGGTTGCGGCTATGCAATTCAAGAAAGACTTGGGGCATGTCGAAGTTCTTTACCTTAGTGCAACAACTAAGTGTTATTCGGAAGGATCTGATACTTGTTGTACTGAACCTGATCGTGATTTGGTTGTGGGAAAAAGGGAACTAATGAGAGAGGTTCATAAGATTTTGGACTGGAGGACTCGAGGAAGGAGAAGTAAAAGACGGTCCTTTAACGTAGTCCAGTGGAAAAGCGAGCCTAAGGCTAAGGCAAACTAGGTTCAAAACGTGGAGTTAGTCCCATTCACGAGGCATATGTAAGGTTTTGAGACACGCTTGCGAACTTTCCCCCCGTCGACGAGGACGTCGATGAGCTTAAGTGGGGGTTTGATTTAGGCCTAACTTTGAGGCCGGGACTTGGCGCCTTCCCTTCGCGTGCTAAGGGACGAGAGACCCGGGCACTTGTGTGCACGACGTCGAATAAGAAAGTGATGTCGAGATTGAGGGCGTCCTTGAGATGAATGTGAGATTTAGTCGAATCTTTGTGGGGCGACAAAGACTCGTGAAAGACTCAGCTATCAATGTCTAAGTGTTTGGCCGGATCATGTAAGGTACACGTGCGGATGGGTCAAGACCCAGTGCGGGGTCTTGACGTACATTAAGTCAGTTCGGATAAGTTTAGGGCTCAATCGGACGATAGTTTTCGTAGGCTATGCATGGCCTTGTGGGTACGTAGGCTAGACTTGAAGACGGTATGGTGCGAGACAGCGCGATGCCTCGCATGTTTGTCAGGTAAGGCGCGGGCAAGGCAAAGACGATGCACACAGATGGCTCTAACGAGGTAGTTGACTACCAAGAAAGATAAGGTCAGACATAAGCTGGTTTGGGGGTTGAGAGGTCTTAGGACATTGCATTTCGATGGACGCGTGCGAGTGGTGGCGCGACGTCTAAGTCGTTGGCGGGAACAATTGGGGATTTGAATGGAGCTTGTGAGGATCACATGGACCAGTCGGTTACATGGTCTAAGGTGGCCTAGGTCGTCTTATACCTTTGAGATGACACAACCGAGAGAGATCAAAAGAGATTGGGGCGCGTGGTGAGACGGTTGTTAGGAACACAGTCGAGACGGTTATTGACCTGCGCAAGTTCGGGCAAGATAGACAGGGGTTGTTGTCACCCACTCGGTGTTATGGCTGAGTTGGCTACACAAAGGCACGAGCACGTCATCGGGCACTTGGTGCAAAACTGCCTGACGGTTGCTAGACAATTACCTAGTAGTTAGGGTTAGGGCTACGAGACCCGAGGTCTTTAAATAGGCCGAGGTGAGCATTTGCGCAAGACAACAAGGGAACATACGTGATCAAGTGAGAGACCACAGAACACACTTTGAAAGAACTGGAAAATAGTTAACTTCTTGAGCGAGAGTGCGTAAACACGAGGGTGAAAAGGACAATGCAAACATACCAAACGAGCAAGGGTGCGAGCAAAGTCTTTGTGCTGTATGCTAGTGGGTGCGTGAGTTGGAATACGCCAAAGTATTGTAGCGTGTGTGTAAGACCAACGTCTATAAGGCCGACTATTGTATACGAGTGTGTGCATGTGTGCACAAGAGCGTAGGTTGAATCGTATATGCGAGCTGTAGGGAATTTCATTGTGCGTTTGAGTAATAATAGTAGTTTGGTTGGGCAAAAGCCCGTAATCATGCGAGTCACTTATTTACTGGATAGCTTCTGCATGTGTGATCGGATTACGTGCTTGCATAAGCCGAAACGATACTTGTGTGGACGAACGAATGTTCGGTAGATGGTGAGAAGCTGACTCATTCGTGGCAAATCAGTCTGCATAAGGTGGTAAGTAGACAAAAAATTTAGCTTAAAGCTTAATCCTGTGACACATGCCCACAGTGTTTCACAAACATATGCCTCATTGTGCTGAAAGGTTCACAAGATGACAAATTAAACTCTTGGAAGTTTGTGGTACGAGTTGGGCCATTCATAAGTTGAGGTCCACACATCAATGTTTTAATAAATAATTGCTAGAAATAGTTATTTTTCCTATAAAATTTTAAATTTGACATCGCATCCACTATACACCAAATTGTTAATGATGAATATTGGATTGAACTTCAAAATTGATTGAGAGAGTTTGAAGCCCACGATGGGATAGACAAGTATGAGTTGTGATGTTATCGATTTTCAACTTTTGATTTGTGGGTAATCGATAGACAAACAAGGTAGACAACAAGTGTTATAGAAATAGTACTTCAGATTAAAATTTTCAATAATTAAAATATTCGATTTTTGATTAGGTATTGTCTTTGAAAAGCTCATATGACGAGATCGGTTTGACCACCGACCTGTGGTCAACGACAATCAACACCGGTCAATTAATTTTTTTATTATATAATAAATTTATATATAATTAGTGTAAATTTCAATTGCTTTGTTATTATATAATTAATTTGATATAATAATAATTATTTTTTATTATATAATTAATGTAGTTTAATAATTATTATCTTTTATTGTATAATTAATGCAATACACAATACATAGAACGAGGTTGATTTTATGAATATCCAAATATTGTACTTCATTTTGTTTGTCTCGCATGGACTTCAAATACTCTAAATCAACTTTAAGTACTATTTAAACATTATGGTTAACTTAACTAAAAATGATTTGTCATACTAAATTTCTAATTGTGAGACAAATTGTCAATTTCGTTTATTTTGGGAGACAATTTGTCAACTTTGTAACTTTATATTGTTAATTTTAAAAAATGACACTTTTGAAGGTTAAAAATAATTCCCGTTTCGTGTTTGAATAATAATAATAATAACTAGTACAACACCCGTGTAAATACACAGGTGCTTGTTAAAAAATTTATCTTAAATTTTAAAATTAATGAGAAAATTATATTAAAATTAGTTTATTTTTTTACAAAAAAAATATATATTACTATATATTTTAGAATGATATGTGTTACTTATGACTTACATGTGTTATATTATATTTGTTTTTATAACTTATATCTTTATCATATAACTACTTGAAATATAAATATATTAGTTGATAAATAATTTTATTTTTCTAATTAATATTAAAAATGATTTTATTATTGTTATAAAGATAAATATAAATTATCTTTTTTTATACATAGAATATGGATGTTAAATTGAAGCTCATCAAAAGAAGATTAATTAGATATATTACATATGTAAAACTGATAAAAAATACAAAAGTTATTAACTTTTAAAATATATATACAATTCAATAGTTATAATAAGGAATAATATTAAAATGCAATTAATACATGTAACATGACCATAAATAATCAACATATTTATGGTAATCCAAACCTAATTATTTTTGGTTTGGAATTAAATTAAAATTTACCCAAGCTTAACAACGAAACATGTAATTTTGCCACATAGGATTCCGAAGCACCAGAAGCAGCCACGTAGGCTCAGCGCGTTCTGGATTAATATATAGGGGAATAATAATAATAATAATAATAATAATAATAATAATACTAATAATAATAATAATAATAATAATAATAATAATAATAATAATAATAATAATAATAATTAGATTTTATTTTTTTATATGTATCAGTACTATTCTACATTATAATTTAGAAAGATGCTACGGTCCCGTTACGGAACAATTCAGTCGGAGTTTATAACCGTTAGATCAATTATCTCTAACAATTACGTGATGATCTAACGGTTATAGACCCGACTGAATGGTTCCGTAATGAGATCTTAGATTTCCTTATAATATCATTGAGACAAACTTTTAATGAGAAATTTACTCCCTTTACAATTCATTGACTAAATAATATCACAATTACGATGACACAATTTTTTTTTTTATCTAAATTACGTTTTAAATAATTAATATAATATTAATAGGTGAAACGGTTATAAGAGGTGATAAGAGGGATTAAATTTATTTTTTGAGAAGTGATAAGAGTTCTCCACGTTACCTTCTTCCTCAAGCAGCAGTCCAGCTCTCTCTCTCTCTCTCTCTCTCTCTCTCTCTCTCTCTCTTTCCTATCCTTAGGCCGAAGGATATTTCTTTTATCCTCCCTTATTCCAGCAGCCCCGTTCATCTTCTTTTAGCTCATAAATTTTCTCCTTTCTATGTTCTTTTCACCATCGAGCAACTTGTAAAAAAAAAAAAATCGTCACCCTAGAAGACCCACTGCGATATGTCCACCGTTCAACATCTTGCCCTCACAAAGCAGCCCTTATCGTCGTCGCACTTCACATGCGTCCTCACAACAAGCCCTTGTCGAGGAAACCTCAGACCCGAAGTCCTCCGAGTAGCCATAACTGCGAGCTTCAAGGCCATGCGCTGCCATCGCCGACATCCACCCTCCCCGCAGCCTATAAGTAAGCAGCCGCGACCCGCTTTCCGGCGACCACCCATCTTCTCCGAGTAGTGCAACCGTCCGCTCGAGGAGCTTATTTACAAGATCAAAGATGTTTATATGTTGTTTATTTTATGTATATATATACACTTTTTGGTTCTGTTATCGGGTTATTGCATAATCAAAGATGTTTATTTTATGTATATATATACACTTTTTATGTTGTTTATCTTATATATATATATATATAAATTCGTGAATTCCAGAATTATAGGTAATCATGATTGTCATGTTTTTTTTTTTTATTTTTCTTTTTAATGTGTTGGCCGTTTTCTTTGCAGGGAAGGCACGTTTTCTTTGCGGGGATTTCACCTTCTGGAGAGGACTTTCAATATATGGAAAGAGATAAACAAATTTGTTGATTGAAATTAAATCTCGTACAAATGTAAAAAAAATCAGTAATAAATCATATATTGATTATGTTTCACACGGATTGTATTTATGTAAATATATCAACACTAGGGGTGATCTATGTATTTTTCCCACTTTTAATAACCAAAACAACCATACATCAGTGTTTCACAAATATGTGCATCCATGCGATGGAAAAGGATCATAGGATGACAAATCAAACTCTTGCAAGTTTATGGTTCAGGTTGGGCTAGTCACAAGTTCAGGCCCACACATCAATGTCTGAACAAGAAAAAGCCCAAAGATGGGACGTCTGGCCCAATACAAGACAGGACCACGATCCGACCCGACAGGACCCGTAATCAATGTTTCCAAAAAAGACCATCTCTACTTCTGCTCTGCTTTACAATCAACAGCACCTGGAGACCCCACCCTCAAGCATACAAACCTCCATAACTCCTCTCTCTCTCTGTTGCCTTTCACAATCGCCTATCTCTGCGCAAAAATAGAAAAAAATCGTTTGATTCAGCCGATCGGAGTCTCGGTGTGCGCCCGTTCATGGCCGGCTTACGGTGTCGATCGTTGGTGTTTGGTGAGATTAACTGGTGAAACTGTCGACTGGGGAGATCGGCAGCTTGGGATTTCACGATGTTCGAAGCACACGTAAGTTTTGGTTTTGTTTCGATTCGGTTTGGTAGTTTTGTAGGAGCTATTGTTTTGGGGCGGTCGGATGTTGGCGGTTTTGCTGTACTGGCTGTATGTTTTTCAGCACCTTTTTTGGCAGTTTGTGATCAGGGAATTCGTGGGATCGAATTAAATGTTTGTGGCTTTATGAAATGTGTGAGGGGCGGTTAACTGCATGGATAGTTCTTGCAGAGGGAACGGAAGCTTATGCAATCTTGTATTGAATTCAGCGAAAATTTTTACCTTTTTATAGGACTTTCTGAAAGTTCGTTGAGGTGGAAATCGTAGATGATGTGGTTGATTTGTGTTCAGTGTATGGGGATCTATGATGTCTTGACACAGAGGAAGCTAGGTGAACAGTTAATAAATTTTCAATGATGAAAGCAATAAATCTTTCTCCGTTTGGGATTTAAACATGTACAAGTTGTAAAAAAATGGCGTGACATTGAGGCGGACAAGGTAAGAGATGACCTAGAGTATTCCAATGAATTGTTCGAGCACAAATACTTGATCGGGAAGAAAAAATGGGGAACTAAGTTAGTATTTCATTGTGTGCTTGTGTTGTTGCTTTGTTTTTAGGAAGAAGCATAATCTATTTACTTGCATAAATGAGAGGGGTTGTGTAGAAATAAAATTTGAAGTACTGTAACTTTGTTGTCCGAGGAATCTTGGGGGTTTCCAGATTGATAGAAAACTGAAAATTGTTTATAACAGCAATGCTACATGAAAAGGAGAAACATCTCAAAGGAGGGTGACCAATAAAATTCAACGTAGACTATCAAGGCCACATATGAAATTATGCTTTCAGTAATTTTTATAAGCTAATCGCGGCTGATGTAGCTTGTGGCCATTGAAATTTACCAAGTGGTTTTGCTGTTTCAATGTTGAAAATTTTAAATACATCTGCATGTCAAGTGAAGCCGATTTAAGTAGGAAAACTGTCTTGTGTAATGTTTTTGTAACAAATGCACTAACTTAACTGTCAAAACATCCAAAGCTTGCATCCTCATCAATTTTGTAGTTGTCTCTTTCCACTATCTTGATATGGTATAAGGCTTGTGAATTGATGATCTTCTAAGGACAGAAGTTGAATTTCTAGTTCTTCTTGTATTGTTTTTCATGAGAGTAGACCGATCTGCTTCTTCTACTTTCTAGATACCAACGTTTTCTCAGATAATCGTTTTATCAAAAAGGTCATTTGTATACTCAGTATATTTTCTTATTTTTATGGTGTCGTGCTTTTAATTAACTCACCAAATCGTGTTGATATGTCATTTCTGGATTTATTGTTTTTCAGGTTTTGCATTTGCTTCGAAAATATTTGGGTGAGTATGTCCATGGGCTGTCGGCAGAGGCCTTGAGAATCAGCGTGTGGAAAGGTGACTTTTTCGTTTTCTTTTAGTTTTTTCCTTATATTATTTTGGTTTCTGTAGCATGGACTTCAATTTTGATGGCTATGCTATCTTATCTCACCAATCAAAATTTGATAGTGGGTTTGTTTAAGTTGGAACTTGGAAGTCATATTTTCTTTCATCATTTTATGTAAAATGTTTCTGCGTATTCTCCCTCCTCTTACATTCTTTTCATTTATTTCTCAAAGCTTCTAATTTAATAAATTTCTTTCTTTCTTTTTTTTTTTTTTTTTTT